AATTGAAAATTTGGAAAACAAAGATTTGCTATTTCTTATTTTTCTTGATTTATCATATTAAAAATATATTTTAATATGTAAAATAACTGACAAACGAGTTGAGTCACCACTCAACTTATAATTGTTTAAATTCCTCAAATCAAGTACCTGACTTGCACTCCTAATTCAACTTGGCCGGCCAGGTCAATGCTTTATGAGTCCAATCATGATTAAGGCTGCAAATTGGGCGGACTCAGGTTGAGAAATTTCATTTCTTTTTTTGTTTTTCAAATTTGAATAAACATAGATTTCCAATTCAGTGTAAATTATTCAAATCAGGTACCATCAAAGTATTTACACGCGCATGAGTGATGACAATATGAAACTAGATTCTTCATCAAACCAAGTCTTTCACATATCTATGACTTAGAATTGAGAATTCTATACGCATTCCATGGAAACACATTGTTTTTGGTAGGTAATACAAGGAAGAAAGCGCCAACTCCACAAATACCCAAATAGTTTCATTGACCATCAATTATGACACCTATGGTTTCTCTACATTTATTTGCATCAGTGTTTCTTCAACTTGTTATTTAATTTCTCTCAAGGGCGAAGGCTGTGTTTGGTTTGAAAGGAACAAGTAGGAAAAGGAAGGAAAAGTGTAGTAGGGAAACCTTACACCTACGTCTCCCTTCCTTTCCCTTCAAACACCAAACATAGCCTAAATTCATGACTAGAGATTCCTTTACTTTTAGCTTGTTTGTTCCCTAACGTTCGTCTTGTATTCTATATATTATTGGTTGAATACAACAATCTTCCCTTGCAGGCTTCGTTCGATCGTCAATAAATTAAAGAGTCACCCTCTAGAAGTTAATATATCATGAAATTGATTCTCATAATTAAGCTACTACATTAATGGACAATCTTACCTCTCCATTTGGAACCATTTTCCGGACCGATGGATGTTTTAAAAACCAGACCTGCTAAGTGATGGTCCAGTCCAATATATATTTTGGTTTTGGTTTGAAACGGTCGGTTCTCCAAAAAAATTGACTTGGTCAAATAATTAATACTTCAGAAACAACCAGATTAATGAGGGAATTATAGTTTAACATGAAATGAAATAGGTTTAAACCATGGTTTCCAAAACCGGACCAGATTAATGAGTCCAATATATAGTTTAGCATGAAGTAAGTGGAAGACTGATTGTTTATCACGTGCAGGAAGAGAGGTGCTTATTAAATCAATAATCACTTGTATTCCATCTTACTTCATGGCTTCAAACCCCCTCCTCCCTCACTCAATATGTTCTCAAATCAAAAAAAAAAAAAAACGTGTGGCTGCCATGAAACTTGCTTGGCCATTTTTGTTTGAACAAGACAGGCTGTGGGCCAAACAATTGAAACTAAAGTATTTGTTCTCTAGAGAATCTTTCTGGAGTAAAAGTTCATCATCCCACATCTGGAAGTGTCTACTTTAACTCAAGGGAGGATTTAAGAAAGGGAACACGAATGCTGATCTCAAACATCTTCAATGATCCTTGGATTCCAAACTTCACTCTAAATAGAATCAAATGAAAAAGTTGCACATCTCATTGACTTCGATTTCAGTCTTTGCCCTCCTCCCCAAATGTCACTTGGCGTCCCCCTACACAACCCTTCATCAAAATCAACGTTGATGGAGCTCATAATAATCACTCTCAATCGGGTTTGACCACAAAGGTAAATTCTTATTTGGAAGAGCGGTGAACATCCCCTTATCGGATCCAGATATCTCAGAGGCCAGCGCTTTCAGAGAAGGAATTCAAATGGCCAAGGAGTGTTACAAATCTCTCATGTTTGGATTGAAGGTGACGCTTAAAAGGTAGTCCAAAGCTCTGTTGGGTTTCCCTTGGCGGTTATTTCCCATTATCACTGATTGCAGGGACCTTTTGAAAGAATTTCAGTGTTCAGTTATTTCCTTTAGGCCTCGTACAGGCAATAGAGCAGCACATTTGATCGCAAATTTTGCTTGTAATCTCTCAACGACCTTTACTTGCTCGAATCCTCTTGATTTCTTTTTGCTTGTACTTACTTGTTGATGATATGGAAACACATCTGGTCTTAAATTTCAGGACATATATATCCTCTTGATTTCTTTTAGCATAGATATAAGATACTCATGAAAAAAAAAAAAAAACATAAAAGCCAAATGAGTTGCTATTAGGTAATTTGGCACGTAGATTCTCGTGAAACTAGGCGTGTCACGTGTGTATGTTATCTGAATTTTTATTCCATCCTCCAGCCATAGATAGATATAATTCACAGATGACTGGTTCTTTTAATGTTGATGACGTACATAACAAGAAGAGACTCAACGATGACTTTTGATCTGAAATTTTAATTATAAAAGACACTGAGCGATGGTAGAAGCGTCACGACCACGGGGTGCCACATAGCCCATAGACTTTCTTCAAGTGATCAAAATGAAAAATGGATATTCGAATTTAATGGCTCCGGTCTAAGTTGGTTCCAGCAGACTGCCAGTGCCACCATTTTGGTCATGGATAAGTCCTCTCTAGGTGAACAAATGAAATAAGGCCGTCCAGTCAGGAGATTGGTCGAATAGATAGATGATTGAGAATTGAAGGCTGGACTATTATAATTAATTAACATTTAACAACACCACACCCCATGATAATTAATATTTTTTTTGTCTCGTTTCAATTTTCATACGCCGTTAGGCATGGGTGGTATAGACTATAGACTATATATATATATATCCTTTTCAATCTCCGACAGGCAATGGCCTATGGGTTGTACAGAAAATTATACAGGACCATCAAATGAAGTAAAACATATCAACCGTTACTTTCTTATAATAGAAAACAGTCTGAACAACCAAAACAGAAGAAGAATAACATTGTATTTTATATGTTAATACTTCAATTAATATATTAAAATAATATAGGAACCTCGAATAATACATGGCAGGTATGCCCAATAATGCATCATATATTATTTCTCTACCATTCACCAGCCTTCTCGCTTATCAACCTGGTGTCTATCAAAATCTCAAGGTTTGAAGCCCAACATTTAAACTTTAAAGTATCAATATATACGATAAGGCATAAAATAATGGGAGTACCTTGTACTATATTCTATTACTCTATTATTGACAATAGAAATTTTTACCACATCATTTAACCCTCAAAACCCCAGTTTTGATGTTTTTTTTTTTTCATTTCTTTAAGAGAGAGATGAAGGAGAATTGAAAAAGGTAGAGTGTCTGCCATTGTTGAGTAAGTATGCAGTGATCAGTACTTGCTTGTGGATCCATTACTATGGAACTACATAGAATATCAGTTTGAGTTGGTTAAAACAAACAATGGCCAACACTTTACCTCTTTCAACTCTCCTTTGCCTCTCTTTTAAATAAATGAAAACAGAAAGAGAGGGCAAAATGAAATTCAAAACTTGGGTTTTGGATATGCAACAAACGAGAGGGCAAAATGATCTCATAGAAGTACTTAATCGACAAAATTTTTTGCAGGAAAAGAAAGATAATTGATGGGAGCAAAGACTGGCCTGCGGTTGAACTGCAACCCGAAAGAAAAAGCGGTTCTATTTTTTGGAATTGATTTTTAAATATCGCCCAGTAGTTGTACAATAATTAATTTAAAATTAGGAAAAAAAAACAAATACAAAACTCTGTAACGACTAACGCGGTTAGAAACCAACAGTTGTACTACAATGCTTCTTCAACAGTGTTTACAAACCGATAGACCCATAATTCTTCCAACTTCAAGTCTTCAACAACATGGCTATAATATATTCTAATATTAATGTAAAATTAAAGGCAAAAAACAATATACAAAATTCGGTAACGCGGTTGGAACTGGGAACTTGACCGGATTCAACTTTGCAATGTTAATGCCTATTTCTTGGGTTGCGGGTGTGGCCGTGTGGGTGTCCTTGTCCTTGACGTGGTCCTATCAATACTCAATAATATTAATGTACGGAGGAATTCTGCTTTCAGTCGAGTCGACTGACTAATTGAACTTGTTTGATTTCGCCAAGTTAACTCGGCCTCATGCCTTGGACCAACAGATGAACCGTGCTGGTTCGGTGGTTCCAAATTTTCCAGCTGAAAGGAGCCTCCGGAACGGAAGATGCAGGGCTCTGGCCCCTCTTCCCTGGAAGCGGGATCTATTCCTCACAAATGGGCGCCTCATGTGCACATCTACTGCGTGTGAGGCACCTGTGAGGCGTCAGATGTGAAGAGCAGATCCGGTCTCTCCTCCCTGTTACCCAAGATCCATCCATTATGAGGTGCTGGTCCTCACATGGGCCATTTGAGACCCTCTGTGATTAAGGCTCAGTTTGGAAAGAGTATAAATATAAATACATATAAAATAATGTAAAATGCAAAGTTTTACAGTGTACACATTTGTATTTGTACTCTTTCCAAATTGAGTCCAAGGACCAATTCGTTTGTTTGGCTCTGCACCATTTCAAAAATTGCATATTAGTATATATCTTGTAATTTGGGCCTAGTCTCATGTTTTGTTCTTGAATTTCAAAATGTGCCAATCCAATGTCAAAACTTTTAAAATGTGCCGGTTAACTCTCTACCATTAGCAATCCATCATTTATTTCTATCACATGATGACATGTGCAACTTAAAATTTTTGAAAATATTAAAATTGTCCTTGAAACACTGTTCATCATCTCTTCCTAAAGAATCAATATTGAACCAAAGCAATAAATCAGTTTTTGACAAATTACTTTTTTTTCTATTGACTTGTAAAAAAATTAGACATTTAGATGATTAATAAAGAAAATTAAATAACACGCAAAGGATATTTGCAATTTTTTATATCAACTTAATATTGATTAACGATTTTATATTAAATTAATACATTTTAAAAATTTAAATACTAACTTAACACGAAGTTCAGAATCCAAAGTCCCAAAATACAGGCTACTAATATTCAATTTTCCCTTACTCCGACGTTAAAACTCCACCCGACTTGAGTTTGACGGATGACTCAGAAACTTTAACTCGGTGGTCAGACTCAAACGAGTAGTCAGTCAAAGGCACCATTGATTGTGGAAATTTCCTAGCTCCCCCCGTTCCGTCTATCTATTTAGCAGCCTCTCCCTCTCTGGTCTTCCACCTTTACCAAGAAACGAAAATCCTTATAAAATATAGAAAAATAGAAAGAGATGAAAAGTGTGGGATAATCTTTCTCTGACGTCTTTATCCTCCTCCCAACTCCAAAGCTGCTTACCGATTCAAACACCAACACGCATATAAATTTGGAAAAAAAAGGTTTCTATTAGTCTACACAATCTGCGATTGCAAAGCATATCGAGATCAAACAGAGAGCTCGAAGCAAGCCAATACTCAAGACAGCCGGCCCAAGGAATTATGAGATGAAGTTCTCTCTTTCATTCTCAGTATGCTTCGCTCCTGCTCCTGCTCCGGAAGAACACGTTGACCACAGCATTCACGGTATGTATTTTCTGGGTTCAGACAAAGATACATCAATTTCTGAATTTGGGTCAATTAGAATCTTCCTGCTAGGTTGATTTTCTTCGGGGTTAGTCTCTCGAAGAGGTGGTGATGCTGTGTGTTAAGTGCTTTGATAAATCGACCTGGGTCGCGTGAGCACAAATCCACCAGAAATTTTGTCTAGTTTCTATTTCCTAAGTGAACAGATAAAGAGGACAAGGGTCTTGGTAGTTTTCATATTATCGTTCTTCCCATTTTAGCGAAATTTGGAAATTAAGTTGCTTATTATATTAACATAAATGGTGAATCCAGCTCCACAATCTTTCCCAAATGTTCACTTTTATTCCTACAAAGAATTGAAAGATGCGACTCAGGGCTTCCGAAACAAGGTCGGCGAAGGGGGTTTTGGTTCTGTCTACAAGGTAAATTTAATTGTGTATATATTCTTTTCCACTTCTTTATCTCCTCATCTTCAACCGTGTTATACACGGGATATGTAAAAAAAAAAAAAAAAAAATCATCTAGACCTTTACTGATACATCTTTTTGGCTGGACCATTAAAGGGACGACTTCAAAATGGAACTCACGTAGCTGTAAAAGTGCTTTCAGCGGAATCAAATCAAGGAGAGAGAGAGTTCATGGCTGAAATAGCTGCAATGTCGAATGTCAGACATGAAAACCTTGTTAGGCTTCTTGGTGGCTGCGTCGACGGAAATAACAGAATTTTGGTTTACGAGTATATGGAAAATAACAGCGTCGTCCAAATTTTGCTTGGTAATTATAAGCCTCTACTTCCTTAGAATCCCTGCTCCATATTTGGTTTATAGCATACAATACTTTACTGTAGACCATGTTTTCTTCCCAAAAAACAATTAGTGAATCAACAGTTTTGTGAAAACTAATGCAGTTTTAATTCTTCTTATCCACCCTTCTCACTGGGTATTTGCAATCACTTTCTTTTCTTTATTTCTCTTTCTTTTGTCAAACAATTTCAGGAACCAAATTAATCCAACCATGATTCGGAATATCATGTTGCCTTTTTTGTTTTCTTGGTTAATAGGCGGAGAGCATAACAAAGCGAAGTTTACTTGGGACTTGCGACGAAAGATCTGTTTGGGAGTTGCTCGGGGTCTTGCCTATCTTCATGATGAGGTCAAGCCTCACATTCTACATCGAGATATTAAAGCCAGGAATATACTTCTTGATGGAGAATTTACCCCAAAAGTTTCAGATTTTGGTCTCTCCAAGCTATTTACCGATAACATGACTCATATTAGTACTCGAGTTGCTGGGACACTGTAAGTTCAGCTACTACCTTATTAATGAGTCCTTCTTTCCTTTGTTTCTATAACATTGCTAACAGCGTTATGGGCTTTCTATCTCTTTCATTTACACATGTGCAGAGGCTATCTAGCTCCGGAATATGCCATTAGTGGGCGTTTAACCCGGAAATCTGATGTCTACAGTTTTGGAGCATTGGTAATGGAGATCCTCAGTGGTAGACCGGTTGTGGACTTCAACTTAGAACTTGGGGAACACAATCTTGTGGAGAAGGTAATGTTGTTAGTGTTATATCTTCAGTAACAATTAATGACATGAATTATTCAGTATCACACTATTGCTGTTGTATCACTCTGTGCCATAGCCCATAGCTTATTCTATATGTGGGAGCTTTCTTGTTAATGACGTTCAACCCATAGACGTTTATATGATTGGTTTTGCATTAATTTTGCCATTGAGAAAGATGTATACAGATACCCAATCAGGTTGACTTTTCAAAGCTTTCCTCTATAGAACTTGTGGAACAATGCATTGTATTATGTGGGTCCTATGCATTTGCACCAGGAAATCATGTTTTTCAATATTTTGTCTATTTGGAATAATCAGACTATCGGATTTTCAAGAACCTCTCAGTCATATATATACCTGCATAGAAAATTTTCATACCAAGCCTTAAGGCTGTGACGATGGTTTTTATTTATTACCCACACCACATCGATATCATAAAGTAGACATGGTTAGGGCCAGGGGTGCAATTCAGGCGGGCAGGGCCGGGTTTAAGGACCCAGGGCCCGCCCAAGTTGCACCCCTAAACATGGTATTGGTGGGTACATCCCATGATGTAAGATCCTTAATTAGTTCTATATGTCATACCAAAATTAAGATCTAAGTATGTACTATGTTGTTGATTTTGGATTCACTGAAACTGAACTGTTTGATGTATTGCATTATTTTGAGTTGTCTGAAGAAAAGAAATCAGAAATGGCTACGCTAGCATGTTAACTTAAAAGCTGTAGGGGGGTTTATGCTAATTTCCATGTAAATATATATGTTGCCCATGTCCATGAGTTAGATGTGAAACATTGTGTATGTAGGCATGGAATATGTACAAAGGCAAGGAGCTTTTGGAGTTAATGGATCCAACACTGAGGGGGGAGTTTCCCCAGGAAGAAGCAATCCAATTCTTAAAGGTGGGTCTACTCTGCGTGCAAGAGGATCCCAGGCTCCGACCACATATGCCCAAGGCCGTTAAGATGTTGTGCAATGAGATCGATATCAAGGAGGTCCAGATAATGCCGCCAGGGATCATCATGGATCTTGTCAATGTCAAGGTAGGAAGCAAAAATACTTCGACTAGCAGTGCCACCAAGGGCTCAACAAGCAGCAGTTCGTGGGGATTCCGCAGTGCCACCCTAATCTGACTAGGAAAAATTAGTCATATAACACATTTTTTCCCCACAAAGTCCAGAATGTTTGGATTGGCTGGGCTAGTTGTAGGTAGTCGTAGAGTGAAAGTTTTTCGGTGGGTTTTTTCAGTGTGTGGATCATGAGCTACATGTTACAGCTTTGTGGTTACCCAAGCTAGTCATGTACATGAACTTTTTGAATGTGAACAAAAAATGCCAAAGCTAGCTGGTTTTTCCATTGTGTTTGAGGTTTAGTACATCCCATCATGTACAGTCATCCTTTTGTCATATAATAAAATTGTTTGCCACCTTTAACCCCTACGTGGAGGAACTCGTAATGTTACTGTTTTTTCCCAACTTTATATACTAACTAGTGAATGACCCCCTTATTAAAATGTGTGTATAATTTAGTTAGCAAAATTTAAATTAAAAAAAAACTAATATGGGTCTTGCATCTTTGTAATTGACAATCTATTCTAACCTATTTTATTTGAAACCCACTATTAATTTATGTTTTTTCTTTTTTATTTTGATTTAAGATATTAAATGAGATCTTATTGGTAATTAATAACCCACTTCATTAGGTATTTACTATTTATCTAATAAATCTATTTTGAGTTATTTATTTTTAAAAGTTAAAATTAGGTTGTTTTCTAAAAGTTAAATCAAGTTTGTAATTAATAAAGTATTTTCTTTTTGAAAAAAAAATCATTTAAAAACAAACATGGGTTTGTGGTAATCTTTTAATGGGTCCCATAATTTGTATTTAATAGACTATGGATAAGCATGTGTTAAACTAATAAATAATCGTCTATTGAGAATGTTTAGAAGTGAAACTACCCACTTTTTGAATCATATTTCTTGAATTAATAGAATGCCAATGGTGGTAGTGGGCTATGGGCTGCAACTTTTCAGAAAATGCCACGTGTCTAGCTTTCCAGAAAAATGAGAAGGCCACATGTCTATATGGTGGGGGCTGTAGCCTGGTAGTGGGCTGTGAGCTTTAGCAGGAATTTCTCAGAAATTGCTACATGTCTAGCTTTCCAGAAAATTAGAAGGCCACTTGTTTGTAAGGTGGTAGTGGGTTGTGAGCTTTAACAACTTCTCAAAAAATGCCACGTGTTTAAATTTCCAGAAAAATGAGGAAGTCATGTGTCTGAATGGTGGGGGGTTGTAGCCTAAAGATGCATGGGATTGGGAAAGGATTATAATTACTAACATAAAATGTGTATTTAATTTGAGCAAGTCTTTTGAACCAAGAATTTACTAGGTGATAAAGTGATATTTAAGCCATTTTTGAGAGTGCTTAAGTTGAAAATAAATGCTTATTGAATAAGTGCTTATTCGAATATGCACTTATTTGCATTTGGCACCCAACTTTTTCAAGTGCTTATTACTTATTTTATATTGGGCGTTTGGTAGTCTTTTTCTCTATTAAATAAGGATTTGTGACTATTTTGTCCTTCATTTTCTTTCAAAATTTTAAAAAATATACCCTTTGAAAGTACTTTTAATAAATTATCTTTATAAAAACACTTTTATGAAATCACTTTTGTAAAGGTACTTTCATAAAAGTAGTTTCACAAAAGTGCTTTTGTATGGGTACTTTCCTAAAAGTGTTTTTGTAAAAATGTTTTCATAAAAGTGATTTCTTAAAAGTGTTTTTGTAAAAAGTACTTCTATAAAAGTGTTTTTGTGAAAGTGCTTTCATAAAAGTGCTTTTATAAAATTCAACTAAGGATAATTTTATATGTGGTATTTTAAAATTTAACTAGGGATAATTTTGGAAGACAAAAATTGAATAAGTGCTTATTGTATAAGCACTTATAAAAAAAGCTAAAAGTTTGGGCTAAAAAAATAAGCCCTTATTTTAAAAGCACTTATTTCAGGCATATTTCCCAAATACCAATAAGTGCTTAATGGCCCAAATAAGCACTTATTTTTAAGCACTCCCAAACATGACCATGGCCTTATTATATGATTTACTAGTATTGAGGAGAATCAATAAATATACTTACGATTTATTAAAGATGGGCAAAAATTAACTGGGAAAGAGATGGGTTGGATGCGACTAAGTGCTCAATAATAGATGATCAAATTATGTTATTACCTAGGAGGAGGTAAATTGCCTTCATGGCTGCTTCCTCAAGTAAACTCTTCTCTTTGGGTTCTAGTTGATTTAAAATTTAGTTTACCTATCAGAGAGAGAGGTAAATTTGATGCACTTGTCTATTCACTGGTCGGTTGAGGTATGGCTGCAACTACAAGCTACTGGTATCTGGGATTTTCAGGCTTCTTGTCCTTGTGTTAATATCTCATACAAAACATTAATCCCTTAAATTCATCACGTACGGTGGCAACTGAAACAATTGATCGGCAAGGTCAGGCAATATTAAGTTATTAACAATTTAATATCCCGTAGACTCATGTGGGTCACCTTTAGAAACTGCTCTCGCTTTTCTTAAATTGCATATATATATATGGTTCTCCAAAGCCCATGCATGTACATTTCAAGATTAATTTTATAGCGCCTCCAGACCCTCCAATTAATTTTGGTGTAGACAAATTCCTCAACCATGCGTATATTTGAGATGGAATTCTGTTATGGACGCGTTTACTGAGAAGGACTCACTAGCGTCGCCAGCGGCAATAGTAAGCCCAGCCCAGCCCATCTACTTCGGCAGCAGTAGTGGGCCCCAGCCCACCTACTTCGACAGCATCTATCTTATCTTGTTACCTATCTATCTTATCTTGTTATCTCATTAGATTAGGACTTACTTGTTAGATTAGAATAAGGAGTGACTTACTCTTGTTAGATTAGGAGAAGGTCTCCACGTCCAGCTAAGAGTGGGATTATTGTAATCTTCTCCTATTTAAGGAGACCCTAGTGAGGAATAAAGGCATTGAATATTCAGTCTCAAGAAAGTAGGAGAGTTGGTGATCTTTTGAACAAATCACCTCCGCCCAAGAAGAGCAAGATAGGTACCTCACGCAAGGGAAGAGACAAGGGAAAACAGGAAGGTTTTCCTGTGGATTGCCCCGTGACTAGATCCTACTCACGAACCCTCAACAATCTGGAATCAGAGCAAGGCGTCATGGGTGATCCAGAACAGCTACCATCTCGGGTCCACGAGCTTGAACACCGTGTCACAGAAACCAATTCCGAGGTCCGAGAGATCAAGGATGAAATCAGAGAGCTTCGGCGCCTGATGGAGATGTTCCTTTCTAACAGAGAAAGGAACGCCGACGAAGCAGCAGCCACCAGCAATCGCCAACCAGACCCGTTGGAATCATCCAATGAACAGCAGACCACCGGTCAGGGAGCCACCATTATTCCAAAATATAGCAGATTGGAGTTCCCATCCTACAACGGCAACGGAGATCCCCTGGGTTGGTTGCACAGGTGCGAACAGTTCTTTCGCAACCAACGAACTGATGACCGCGACAAGGTTAGCCTGGCTGCCTTCCACTTAACAGAAGAAGCCCAGCTCTGGTTCTACCGATTGGAGCAAGAAGAACCCGGGCTCGGCTGGGCACAGTTCAAGTCATATTGCCTTCTTAGGTTCGGGCCTCCRCTGACAAGTAACCCCTTGGGCGAGCTGATCAATCTCAAACAAACGGGAACAGTGGCAGAGTACCAACGCCAGTTCCAAACCCTCCTCGCCAGAGCATCATTCGTGCGTCCGGACCAGCAGGTAGACATGTTCACAGCCGGATTATCAGAACCCCTGAGGGTGGATGTAGAGATGCAGAACCCTCCAAATCTAGTAACAGCCATGAACCTAGCCCGTGCGTTCGAACGCAAGTTGCAACTCAGACGCGGGACCATCAGCAAAGGGCGACCATCGACCTCATGGGCTCCCCCGAGATCAACCGTAGCAAATCCCCTTCCTTCGGCCAACAGAGAATAGAAGACCCACTCAAGTAATACCGCCAGAACAGCGACAAGCGTGGGGAGCAGCATAGTGGCTCCTCCCATTAAGAGATTGTCTAGAGCAGAGATGGCCGAACGACAGGCGAAGGGCTAGTGCTTCAATTGCGACGACCTCTATTCAGCCGGGCATCGGTCCAAGAGGCTCTTCTGCCTCCTAGTAGATGAGCAAGGGGAGGACGACGAAGAACCCGTAGCATGCGAGCCATAGATCTTCCTCCATGCCATTACCGGCATTAAGAACTCTCAGACCATGCAGTTGCAGGCAAACCAGTACGGATACTCGTAGATTCAGGGAGCACGCACAACTTTGTGAGTGAGCACACCGCCCTACAATTCAATCTACCAATCGAATCCCGTCCACAGCTCCAGGTAGCCATCGCGAATGGCGAAAGAATCCACAACCCCGGAATCTGCAAAAATGTCCAGATACAGGTGGAGTCTGAACTCTTCTTTGCCGACTTATTTGTACTGTCCTTGGATGGGTTTGATCTTGTCCTCGGGATCAAATGGCTGATCACCCTAGGCCCAATTCTATGGGACTTCAGCACACTAACCATGACTTTCCACTTGAATGGAAAGCAAGTCTCGTGGCAAGGTTGTAAAGAAAAGGCAAAAATACCAYAGGCTCATGCACTCCAAGCAGAAACCATGCAGACAACAGCCATGGAAAAACTCCTTGCTGAGTTTTCAGATGTATTCCAAGAACCAAAGGGCCTTCCCCCTCCYCGAGCTTGCGATCACCGAATCCCTATGGTGGCAGGCTCTAAACCAGTCGTCGTCCGGCCATATCGCTACCCTCATCTACAGAAGGACGAGATTGAACAACAGTGCTCCGAGATGCTGAAACAAGGGATCATACGAACCAGCCATTCCCCCTTCTCATCACCAGTCCTTTTGGTAGCAAAACAGGATGGATCATGGCGGTTTTGCGTTGACTACAGGGAACTCAACAGCCGGACAATCAAAGATAAATTTCCCATTCCCATGGTCGACGAACTGTTGGATGAACTACATGGGGCCCAATACTTCTCCAAACTAGACCTCCGGTCCGGATACTTCCAGGTCCGAATGGCTCCCGAAGATGTGGAAAAAACTGCTTTTCGCACCCACCACRGCCACTTTGAATTCCTAGTCATGCCGTTTGGTCTCACAAACGCCCCATCCACGTTYCAGTCACTGATGAACGAGGTATTCCAGCCCCATCTGCGCAAGTTTGTCTTAGTCTTCTTTGATGATATCCTCGTGTACAGTAAATCATGGGTGGAGCATGTACATCACCTACGGATCGTATTCAAGCTCCTACGACTGCACAGACTCTTTCTCAAACGTCCTAAATGCTCGTTCGGAGAATGGCAAGTGCTGTACCTGGGCCACGTCATCCACGAACAAGGGGTCACAGTAGACAACTCCAAGATTCAGGCTATCAAGGAGTGGTCATGACCCCAAAACGTCAAGGCTTTGCGCGGGTTCCTCGGGCTGATCGGCTACTACCGCAAATTTGTACAAAATTATGGTCTGCTAGCCGCCCCATTAACTAATCTGCTCAAGAAGAATTCCTTCCGGTGGGACGATGCAGCGGAAGCAGCCTTCGTGACATTAAGAGACGCCCTGACCTCCACTCCAGTTCTACAACTACCAAACTTTGGTCTCGAGTTTACTGTCGAATGTGATGCGTCCGGTAGGGGTATTGGGGCCGTCTTACAATAGCAGGGACACCCGATCGCCTTCTTCAATCGCAAGCTGGCTGATTGGCATATGAAGCTACCAGTCTATGAGCGTGAGCTAATCGGACTAGCCAGGGCTGTGCAGCATTGGAGGATGTATTTGTGGGGACGATCATTCGTTGTCAAAACCAATCACTACAGTCTCAAGTACTTGTTGGAACAGCAGCTCACCACGTCCCCTCAGCAGCACTGGGTTCGCAAGCTGCTTGGGTTCAATTTCCGAGTAGAATATAAGGCGGGCACCTCAAACCGCGCAGCCGATGCCCTTTCCAGACGCGATGAGGATGGAATGTCCTTGTACGGGCTATCCCAACCACGACTCTCCCTCTTGGACGACATCAAGAAGGCCCTACCACAATCACCCGAATGGACCCCTCTTGTACAGAAAATACAGTCTGGAACTGCCAATTCCAACTGGTCCCTTCATGATAGCCTGGTCCTATATAAGGGACGGGTCTACCTCCCACCCGGGTTCCCCTTAATCTCCTCCATCATTTCGAGCATCCACAACTCCACCCACGAGGGTGTTCAGAAGACACTGCATCGTGTCCGGTCTGATTTCCATTGGGCCGGTATGAAAGCTTCTATCCGGGATTTTGTCCAAAATTGCTCCACATGCCAGCAGCATAAATGGGAGAACTTGCATCCGGTAGGCCTCCTTCAGCCCCTTTCGATCCCCACTCAGATATGGGCCGACATATCCATGGATTTCATCGAAGGACAACCCAAGGTAGGTGGCAAATCAGTCCTGTTCATGGTGGTAGACCGCTTTTCCAAATACGCCCACTTCATTCCCCTCTCACACCCATACAATGCCGCTTCCGTCGCTCTCGCCTTCTTCACACACATTGTTATTCCGTCTTGGAGGGAGTTATTCCGTCTTCCTGGCACCACCTTGGCCTTCTCTTCTGCATATCATCCACAGACCGATGGTCAGACGGAAGTGGTCAACTGCACAATAGAAATGTATCTTCGATGTTTCGTGGGTGACCAACCGCGACGGTGGGTGGACTGGCTGCCTTGGGCCGAGTATTGCTACAACACTGCCTACCATTCTTCCCTCGGCATGACCCCTTTTCGCGTCGTCTATGGCCGAGACCCCCCTCGCTTACTGACCTATGAACCTGGCTCTACCCGTTTGGAGGCTATTGACCACTCCTTGCAGGAACGCGACGCCCTTCTCACCGACGTCCACCTTCGCCTACAACAAGCTCAGTTCTGCATGAAGCAAAATTATGACCAGCGCCACCGAGAGCTAACACTTGAACCAGGGCAATACGTTTGGTTGAAACTGCAGCCCTATAGGCAACGCTCCTTATGCCACAAGGCCACATCTAAACTAGGCCCTAAATTTTTTGGGCCCTTCAAGGTCTTACGGCGGATTGGCTCGGTTGCATACCAGCTCGAGTTACCAGCAAACAGTTGGCTTCACGATGTCTTCCACGTTTCCCTGCTGAAACCGTTTACGGGCATCCCTCCGGACCAGGTTCCCAACCTACCGCCCCTACAAGAAGGCAAACTTGTCCTGGAACCAAAGGCCCTGCTCCGCTCCCGCATCACTGGAGGCACTCCCGAAGTTTTGGTCGAATGGGCCAACCTACCCCTTACCGAAGCCACTTGGGTTCCCTTGGCCGAACTTCAAGAGACTTTTCCTGACTTCGAGCTTGCGAACAAGCTCTTAGTCCAGGAGGGGTGTAATGTTATGGACACGTTTACTGAGAAGACTCACTAGCGTCGCCAGCGGCAATAGTAAGCCCAGCCCAGCCCATCTACTTCGGCGCAACTCAGCCCATCTTCTTCGACAGCAGCAGTGGTGTTACTTCGGCAGCAGCAGTGGGCCCCAGCCCACCTACTTCGACATCATCTATCTTATCTTGTTACCTACCTATCTTATCTTGTTACCTCATTAGATTAGGACTTACTTGTTAGATCAGAATAAGGAGTGACTTACTTTTGTTAGATTAGGAGAAGGTCTCCACGTCCACCTAGGAGTGGGACTATTGTAATCTTCTCCTATTTAAGAAGACCCTAGTGAGGAATGAAGGCATCGAATATTCAGTCCCAAGAAAGTAGGAGAATGGGTGATCTCTTGAACAAATCACCTCCGCCCAAGAAGAGCAAGATAGATACCTCACGCAAGGGAAGAGACAAGGGAAAACAAGAAGGTTTTCCCATGGATCGCCCCTTTACTAGATCCTACTCACGAGCCCTCAACAAATTCCTCCTCGGCTCACCTTAGTATTGGCTTCACGGCTGGGTTTATCTCTACCCTTGGCATATGTGATACTCTCAAGTACATCCATTTTTCTAGAGTTTGAATAATCAATCAAAACCATCTTTGAATATATATCCTCAGAACAAGTATTCAAGTTAAAGAGGAAGTAATAAGAGTACGTAACTAAAGTGCGTGACAAGCGTTGATGACGTTAATTTCTACCCAATCCTCGCTAGCTTTTTCAACTTGATCATAACCCAAACATAGGGTTATTTTCGAATATCCAGAAGGTCAGTAGGATCGTCAACATCATTGAAACCCCCAAATTAAAGTTTGGGTCTCTGGCCTGGCAATTTGTGAGAGATATTTGTTTGTGATCGTGCTGGCTTGGTCAACATGGAATAGAACAATTAATGAAGCAGTTTCAAAGCCATACACGGTCCAAAGGTAAGATTATACTGGTTTAATATTAATGGTTAATTTCCTGGTTGACACTATGAAACTGGGCCCGAACCGCTATAATCTTGTGTTGCGAGCTATATGATTTTAAAGGTTTCGGAGTTGGATGCGAAGTTGACATTGTACCTTTGTTTCAGCAAGAAATTTGGTTGTCTTCCCTGTTAATTTTCTCAAACAAAATTCAGTTTCTTTTGCAAGAAAATCTTCAACATATCTGATACTTATTTATAAATATCGAATTTGAATCAGCAGAAGAAGATATTCTTTAGGCAACAGGAGTAGTTGTTGGATTACTCGTGAGTATAGAATATGAAATCTCATTTGGCTACTTGTACAGTACTGAAGAACTAGTTAATAGTTATATATTAACAATTAATCGACCCAATCTCTAGTTCTGCTTACTGCTACTGGCCTGGTTGGTGGTTTGAATTGAACCAGTTCAAATATTAATTAATTGTTTGGGTACCTGCAGGTGGGTTTTCGACAGCAGGAAATGAATTTACCATAAAAATATATAACATCTAAGCACATTGTTTTCTTTTTACCAAAACTCTGCAGGTTTAGCCACCTAAATTCTTATTGGGAACTTAAAAAAATTCAAAACGGTATTTTGTTTTTGTTTTTCTTTTCCATTATGTGCATCGGAAGAAGTGGACACAAGTTAAGAGAGGTTCAGAAGTTAACTTGCCGAATGCCGATTATAGAGTGTAGAAAGGTACGGTAGGATTCGTGGACTTGCGCTAAATTACTGAGTTTAGGATTTCAGTAGATTTGATATCCTTTGAAGGGGCTATAGCCGGTTTGAAGGCCTTAGGTGTGGTAGATTTAAAAATTAATACCTCTGGAGGTAATCATTTTGAAAATTTTCTCCTGGGTGCAATTGGAGAATATGCTTTCTCGGATTCATGTTCGTTCATCCATAAAAAAAAAAGAAACATTCATGTTCGTTCTGCATCTTGATCTTTGTAAAAAGAAAAACTCTTACCAGCCAGTTACCACAGCATCATCGGCATTGAAATGAAATTAAAAAAGAAATAAAAAAAATCTAGTCTGTTGTCAAACCCAAGAAACACCAAGAAGTATCTCATAAACCTCTATATCTTAAAGAGAAAAGATTCAAATTGTTCCAATTTACATGCAGTAAGGAGGGAAGATTGAACTACTTGAGTTGGACGCTTCATGATCTCCAGGCAATGAAACACCAATGAAAGGATTCAGAAACTGAAGCATGGCTTATCATCATACCAATGGCATTTAATTGCTTCCTTTGTTGCCAGTAGATATAAGCTTCGCTAATCAATCAATCAATCAATCAATGTCTATGAATTATGGAACATACATCACATTATATTATAAAATGGAGGCCCTGCCCATGCTAGCTATAAGACTTGGATTAGAAACACAGAAATTCCATTTCCGCTGTGGCATATCTTAGTCCTCTATCTACACTCTACAGGCAAGGAGTGGAATCCATCCTTTCTGAGTACTTTCCTCTGATCATCCAAAAGGAATGTTTGATAGATAGGTGGAGTTAAACCAAAACCCAATCCGATCCGATTATTTTCATCAGATATCCAATGGGTCCCACTTGATGCTGGATCTCCCCCTATTTTACATGACTGGCCATTCGCCCATCATGGGCTAACTTTAGTCTGATGACCTGAAACGGTAGTGATATTAGCGTAAGTTATTGTACTGAACACCTACCAGTCAAGAAGTTCACAGTACTAAACTTGGCAGGTTCTAGTTCTACTGCCTGCCGTATATGTGATTTCTATATCATACATAGTTTCATATTAACTTACCCAGAAGCTTTCCTTAGATTTAATTTCCTTTATGAAAGCATCGAGAGAGAGAGAGAGATATGGTAAACTCAGTGTCTACTGATCTAAGCCACCTAAGAAAAGAATCACCTACTCTTGCATAAGCCAGACCGGCCGGACGCAGTTGATGGATTGCATCTCGCATTGATCCCACGCTCTAGATCTACACAGATTTGATAATGCTGTTGATTCAACTTGTGAGTTTTACGGCCCATGCGTTGGACAAGTTAAACTAATTGGTAATAATTAAAACCAAGTGTATTACAAATTATACATAGACAAGGTGTGAAGCAGAACCCTCAGTCATGTAGAAGTGGTGGTGATGAGTGCATCGATTATATCATGCGATGAGGAGAAACCCTAATTTACTTTAATTGGTGAAGAATGACAATACCTGATGGTGGTTCATGAGATGACCTGCACTTTCAGAACAACGACGATGCTGCTGCTTTATGGATCTACTATATATAATCTTCTAATAGAAATGAACAAAGAGTACAGAATGTTCTAGAGAGAGAGAAGAAGAAGAAGAAGAAGAAAATTAACAGCAATTAAAAGCAGATGCAGTAACGTATATAGATGCTGCATACAGCATGCAATATGCATGGCTCCTCGCACGCCATCCACGAAGACCATCGATGTGCCGATGGGCTCTGCAAATGGCATACAGGGAGCCAGGCACATACGTGAATACGTATGCTATCACATGGCATATATGCGTACATGAATGGATGCAGTCATCAAGCGTGTATATGCACCAACGCCTATGCATGTATATATTGTATGATAATATAATAAGGGCAAGCTAACTATATATCATGCTAATTCTGATTTTAATTCTCTACATCATCCGGTTGGGTGCATGCAAAACGGCGGTGGGGTGGTCGTGATGGTCATTGCCGGGTGCCGGTGCCGGTGCCGGACGTAAACCATCGTTGCAATGCCGACGGACTTCCAGTGCTGGAAACACTGCTTGTTGCAGTTGGATAACTGTGTCAGGAATTGAATGAAGAGGAGGAAGAATGGAGCAGTACTTATTTAGGAGAAGAGGAGTTGATCTTTACTAGATCAATCCAGTCCTCTTCAAATTGATCTCTATGCCCCACACCCCTTATTTTTTTTTTCTCTCAGCAACCCAACAACCACTTTTTGAGTTGGCATAAAAACAAACACAGCTGAAAAAACTACTCCACCACAACAGCTACCTCTTTTATTTTTTTTCCCACTTCTGGGTGGGAAATCGTCGCTAAACTTGGCGAAGATCTGCTGAATTAGTGGGGGTTTTGAGACGGAAAGAAGAAGGTGTAGGGTTTGAGTTGCACGCTCCAACTGCTGCTAAATATAGAGGCCAGGGATAGAGGGGTGAGGTGGAGAGAGAGAGAGATGTTGGTTTGGTTGGGCTACTACCCACGCAATTTCCTAAGCCTTCCCTAGGTTTTTTATTTATTTATTTTTTGAAATCTCCTTTTCTGGTCTTAAAGCAAAGGTTCTTTTCTCCTCTGAAACTAATTTGTCTGGGAGTGCTTGGAAGATTTGGATTCCTCTTCTCTTTACTCCATTGAAAACACAACTTATCTTCTTTTTCTTTTCTTTTTTTTTTTTGTTTTCTCTAATATATATACTATTATATATTCCTATTGCATGTGAAAACGTGAGGGACATATTCAACTCACTGTTTTCATTAATTAAAACCTTAAAATATTCATATAATCTGCACCAACTTTATCCTCGAAATCACCTGTGCTGTGCTTTCCTTTGCGTCCATTCATGCAGCACACATTTGTTGAATACTAAATTTCCTTTTTCTGCTGGTAAATTGTTCAACTTTATTATATCCCAAATACTGATAATAATAATAATAAAGTTATGAAGAGAAGATTATTTTAATTTGTGGGTATGTCTATTGTCATTTGGCAGTTTATATGTAAACCATTTCCAATTGCACAACACAAGCAGCAATGTATAGACATAGAGGTGTAGGGGCTGGCAATTAAGCGCGACGATGCTGAGTCAGGGCAGAGGAGGAGAGCCATACATTTGAAATCTAACAGATAGGATTGCCTAATCATCAGATCACTTGAAGTTTCGTAATGCTCTTAACGTTCATGGAATCTTTGACTGTCAGAGATCTGTCTATGAGGGGGAGCGAATGACCAAGGTGGAAGAGATGAACAAAAAAAATTAAAAAATATTAATTAAACTTGGGAAGCGTAGAATCGTAGATATTGGTCAAGTATATATATAAAGTGAAAAGAAGAGTTAAATTAGTGAAACCCAAAAAGAAGAAAGACTGAAAGAGTAATTAATTTAAGATAAAAACAGGTGCATTTGCAGTGTGAAGAATTAATTAATTTATATTAAAGCACACAAAGAAAAGAATGAACGATAACAATGGAGAGGGAGAGGGAGAACATGAAGGGTGGGGAGTGTGGAGACTGGAGAAGGTAGTGAAAAAAGAGACAGAGGCAGTGATAGGAGCCGATCGATCTTCCATGTCTAGAAAAAGCTGCATGGTTTCTCCTTTCCTTAGTTGTAGAAAATGGTAAAAATAAAGTGAAAAGTAGGGAGGATTAAAAATGGTAACTTTTATTTTTTATCGTTTATAGGGTTGGAAGGAACAAGTGTGGGAATCGTGGTGTCAGAGCTGAGCTACGCCTTGGTGTTTGGATGGGAGTCTCGCGGTTAGATTCTATTCCTCCCTCCCCTCTCCCTCTTCCTCGATTTCCTAATTCCATAAGGTCATAATATATATCATAGCATCCCTTCCCAAACCAATACGGCCCACTCTCAGTACCATTACCAATACCTCTCCCTCTCCATTGCTCTCTCCATCACCTGCTTCTGCTGCTTGCAGATGCAGATGCACCTGCTGTACTCTCTCTCCTCTCTTTGCGTGTTTGTGGGGGCAAACATGATGATAGTCATCGAGGTGTTCTATGTTTGGTTTGGTTCATCACCCTGGCTAAAGCTAATACATGCATTTCCCCTCAAATTCAATGTATATTATTTTCCTTGCAAAAAAAAAAAAAAGGATTTATAATTTATACAGGGACGATGATATTTAAAATGCTAATTAGTTTGGTCTAATTGGTTGGAGCCAATCATCATTTAGGCAACTAATATAATTAAACCATATGGTCCTCATCAAATTCCATGCAATTCATTTAAATAAAACCATAATGGAGGTTTCTGTATTGCACCTGATTTAAGCACTTAATTAATTACTGGACATCGTACATCAGCTGGCAATGAGATGTATTTAATTAGTGTAATTGACTAATTGTTGTCCATCTCTGCTTTACCAAAAGTGCAATATTATATCTTATGTATACATGCTCACACTGCCCCCTTAAATTTATACTTTCTCTCAAGCCCATCAGTCCAAGTTGTCGGTGGTCAGACACATCCCTATTGGATTAGGTTAAAAGTAATGTTTAAAGCAAACCAGTTCGAGTATTTTCGTCCAAAATGCTTGCTAATTCCAATTCACAACCAACCATTTCGCTTAGCTTCTCTGACCCATATGCTAGAGGAGCCTGTAGGGTTGATGTACAGTGAAGCAGTTTGTACAAATGCCAAATGTAGAGGACCAGCTGGACAGCCTGGGCTTTGTCAGCGTTGGCATTTGCTAAAAGGAAGGGGTAGTGGTGTGGTCTGGAGACTGGAGGTCGGTTTTGTGTAGCCCAGTAATAATATCTACATTACTACATGAGAAATTCATTTTCCTTGTTTTCTAAGGCTCAGTTTGGAAAAAGTACAGATACAAATACTTACAATAGCGGAGACTTGGGATTAAATTCCGCCTACACCAGGGTTTGGGGATGGGTTACCCCCATTGTATACATCTTCAAAAAAAATCAAAATACATATAAAATAATACAAAATATCAGATTTTGCACTCTACAAATTTATATTTATAATCTTTTCAAACTGAACCTTGGAAAAAGTATAAATACAAATGTATAGACTGTAAAACTTAGTATTTTGTATCAGCCCTAATGATAGTTAGTTCAATAGGTCCTATTCTATCATCCAAAAAGAAAAAGAAATGACAAAACATTTAATAGAATTTTGGCAAATCATTGTATAACAGGGGTAGAAGTGTAAAAGTCATGCATTTTACCGGCAAGCCAGAAAAACAAAGATAACTAGTGAAGCTTGTTGTTATATATATCACCAATAGAGGGTGAAGCATCAAGGAGGAATACCAAATTTTAACATATATGTTATAAACAAGAGAGTTTAGGCTGTGTTTGTTTCGATAAAAAAAAATCTCAATTTACCAAACCAAACATAACCTTAGAATGAACTATTCACTTTGATGGTAAAGTTGTAACAAAAATATGTAAAATATATTATGTAATAGCATGGTAGTACGTAGTTTGGATGTACTATTTACTTGGGAAAAATTGAAATGCCATGTTTAGAAGGGGAATGGAACATAAAGCGGGCAAAATAGTCCTTGAGAAATCCGTACAACAAATAGTTAAACCCTTCACATGCAACAGGGCAAGCAGTGGGTCTCACAACCATTTTTGTATTGAAAAGAGAAACAAAAGAATGGAGTTTCAGAATCTAGAGACAAGAGATAAGAAGATAGCCACAAAAATAGCATTAATGTGCTATTTTACATGAGGATAATATTATTATAAAATACAAAATTATATATGAAGAGAATTAATTACTATAATAACAATAGTGTGGTGATAATTAAAGTTGCATTTACTTGGTGCAAATATAGAAATGAACAAATATAGTTACATTATTGGTTTGGATGGGCCAAGTTGTGTTCAGAATTAATTGCCTCTCAATGTTATATATATATATATATATATATATATATATATATGTGTGGAAAGTAATTAAATGGGTGTTTATGTAAATTCCGTGGCATTAGTAAAATCATGCTTTGGCAGTACAAATTTATTTTGATATTGATTTTATCACATTAACTGGCTAATTACTAATGGGGGTGTTGGCAATGTTATTTGTTTTTCAAAACAAGATAAATTATTGCCACATCAGCAAAATCATATTGTTTTTGCCGATGTGGCAGTCGTTTTTGCTTTAAAAAACAAGGCCATACATGTAAGAAAGCAGGTTTAATGAGCATTTAATAAATATTTTGACAATTGTATGAAAAGTTGCTTTTAATCTTTTCAAGCGTGCGTAGGATATTAAGAGACAGGTGTCAGAAAATTTACTGAGTGTGTTCACTCTATGTGATCTGGACTGATTGGCAAACACCTTGTTAAATAACAAGAGTTAGGGGCACAGGGCACACTCACTTTGTCATACGTAATTGCTAATTTACGACAAAACATTCTCCCATCCTTGTCTAGTGAATAGGAACATCACATCCTTTTACCAAGAAGGCAGATCCAAAGTGAAATACAAAAGATATATTTGTTTCGATGTTGCAATGACAAAAATTTCTATGAGAGAGATTTTGGCGGTACAAGAGGTAGATTTGAATCTGATATTTTACCATAGAGAGAAACAGAGAGATAGAGATTTTATGTTTTGAAATTATGTTTTCCATTAATAATAATAATAATAATAATCAGGGATTTGCTCAAAATCGACCACCACCCAATTTATTTATTCATTCTTATCGATGCTTCTCCGTTTGATGTATTTCTTCTTCAAGGGTGGTACTTAGGATAATCAAATCAGGAGACGTTTGTGTTTACTGCTTTTCTTTTTTTCTTCTTGTGTTTTTTCCCCATTTTTTTTTGGGTGTAATTATTAGGGCTGTCAATGGTCTGGGTTTGGTTTGAGACAGGGTAGAACTATTCCGAACTGATTGTTAAAACCGATAGTACCAGAACTGAATCAGATCCAATTGATTCTATTATTTCACAACCGGTACTGAACTGATGGACCAATCAGAACAATAGGGTCCAACCCGATTATCTGTTGTATATCTACTTGTTTCAACTTGAGATATGCTTATAACTAGAAAAAACTTTTGTAAATGCATGAAATTATCTGTTATATATCTATTAACTAATATTAAATTATTCTAAAAAATAAAGCTAGAAAATCAAGAAAAAGAATTTATCAAGTATTGATGCAAGAAACTGATGTACGAATGATCACCAACTAGTTAATTAGGCTGAAGAGTTGATCAAATATGTGTAAATAAAAATTTATAGCCCGCAAAATAAATACAACAAATTATTAACTTGTAATTTATAGAAAAGTAACTGAATAAGATAAATGAAACAAAAACCAAATGACTGATTCACTTTGGCTTTATATTTTAGTTTTTTTTTTTTTTTTTCATTTTCATCTACACTATGATGCAGAAACACAGAAATGGGTCAAGGCAACAACAGTAGCATCACAAAACCCATTAGTAACAACATCTCCTCCTCTCGG